AGTTTTGTTTACCAGAAAGTGGGAAACTGAGATGGAGATCAGGAGAGGGAAACAGGCAGATCTTTGGGTAAATTTAAAAGAAATAGTCATAAGGCACATAAAATCATTAGTATCTTTGAATTAGAGTGGATTATGGAGGGGGGAGGGTATATCCAACTGGGACCTGGGCATCCCCAAATGCCCCATTGGGATTGATATGGTTTCCTTTTCCCCATATTCAGGAACCAGAATGAGATACGAGTGAATAGCACCAGATGTGCACTGGATAGGTTTGCCAGCCCTGGCTGAAAACAAGGGAACCTATAGCTAATAGAGCACAGAATGAGAAACATCTGGGAAGCCTCAAATATTATCATAATAGTGATGACACTTTAAATATACATAGTATATTTCTCAATGAGCTTCCTGCTCTGTTCTGACTGACTGAAATCAGAAATTCCTTCTGCTCCATCGGTGACTAGCTGGGTTCTCTGAGACTTTGGTGTTGGCTGGAAGTACACAGGTAAAGTCCAACCAGTTTTTACAGACTGGATCATCCCAGCTTCACTGAATGTTGTGCTGGGAAACACTGGAAAGGAGTAGAATCCATAATTTGCCTTACCTCCTCTGTCAATTGCTAATTGGAACAAATTGATCCCTAACTCTCTTCTTAACTATTTCCTTGTCATCCCTTCTTTTTCCTGAGTTACTACATTCTCTCTATCTTTCTCTGTTTCTCTATCTCTGTTTCTTAATTTTTGTTTTGAATTTAATGAATGCCAAAAGAATAAAAAGACTATTTCCATATTCCATTCTGTATTCAAAGCAAAACAGAAAAATGATTATACATAAAATCACAGCATATTACAGTACATAAAGCTTACTTTTTCATTTTTATCATCTTTTTAAAAGTCTTGCTTTTTAGAATACATATAATTAATTCACTGTTAAAATATTGTTTTCAAAACTCTCCTGTTTCTCTGTATTTCCCTCTGAACTTCCTTCTGTTGTCTTCTGCGCATTAAAAAAACCTTCAGTTTCTGTTTTCTTTTTATTCTTTGGGGGAAACAGCATTATCTCTAGTTCTCTGCTCCCTCCCCCCCCATGACCATAAATAAAAGGCAAAATGCAATCTTTATGATAAATAATCATAATCAAGAAAAAACAAATCCACAAATTGGCCATATTCAAAAATACGTTTCATCATGTACACGAGTCCATCACGACCTCCCTGTCAGGAAAACAGCTCATTTCATCATGAATTCTCTGGAATCGTGGTTGCTCATTGCATTGAAGAATTCTTCAGTCTTTCAAAGTTATCTTAACAATACTGGTGTTACGCATGAACTGTCCTCCTGATTATGCTTATTTCAGTCTGCATCACTTCATATGTTTTCCCAGGTTTCTGTGAATCCCTTGCCCCCCTTTCATCATTTCTTATGGTATAATAATATTCCATTACATCAATTTACCATAATTTGTTTGACAGTTCTCTAGATGATGAGTACTTTCTTTGTTTCCAGTTCTTTGCTATAACAAAAAGAGCTAAAAAATGTTTTTGTACATATGGATCATTTTCTTTCGTTCTTTTATCTCTTTGGGATATAGGGATAGTAGTAGTATCACTGGCTGTGCACAGTTCAGTGACATTTTAGATACAGTTCCAAATTACATTCCAGAATGGGGGCACCAATCACAGTTCTACCAACAGGCTATGCCCTGTCTTTCTAGAGCCCCTCCAACAATTGTCATTTTCCTTTTTTGTCATTTTTTTTGCCAATCTGATAAATATGAGGTAGAAAGATCTCTTATTGTCTGTGTTTCTCTCTTTAAAATCTCTGCTCTGTGTCTCTCGTGTTCTTCCCCCCTCTGCACTCTCCCCCTTCCTTTCCTTCTCTTTGTCTCTCTCACATCCTTCCTCAATTCATTTATTCAACAAACATCTGTTAAGCACCTACTATGTGTCAGGCACTATGCTAGGGACTGGAGATACAAAAACAAAAATAATCCCTGACATTAAGGAGTTTGCATACTACTGATGAGAATCAATATGCACATAGGTCAACAAATACAAAGCATTTGTGCCTTCGTTTTCAATAATTCTTGCCCTTTCCCTATGCCTTGTATCTTTAGGATTGTGGATCTTGTGGGCATAGATAGTAGCTGCTGCCATTCTCAACGATTGCAACTCCCTATTCCCCATTATGAAGATATTCGTATGGCAGATTCCCATGCCCCTTGGTTATCCATCTAGGGCCTCCTACCCCTAAGCATCTCCCTGCCTGTCTTATCAGATAGAAAAAATAAAATCAGACTTGCTTTGTAAGCACCTTCCTCCCCCCCATAAAACTCATGACTCTCATGATTAAGCTACCCTACTGTTAAGGAAACAAAATCAATCACCAAGTTTACTATGTGCCAGACACTGTGCTAAGAGGATAAAAAGAAAGACAAATATAACCTTTGCCCTCAAGGAGCTTATATTCTAATGAGTTTTTAAGACCCAATAGTCCCATGCATACACCAAGAAGAGTTAGAAAAACTTAACAATATATGGACAATGTCAGAGGCCTGTTGTTGACATCCATTCTTTCCTCCTTCTAATGTGGTATGACTATACACACATACACACACACACACACACACACACACACACACATACACACACATCAGTGGTGTCCTTTGCCTTGATTCTCTTTGGTTTCTCCATGTCTCTCTCCGTGGGTAACTCATTTTAGATCTTGGATCTTCTCTTGAACATGCCATTATAAAGTCTTCGGGATTTATACTTTATTGGCCCAACTGATATTTGTGAAACCTCTTTGGAATCCCCCAACTGGTTCAATAGACTAAGATACATGCATTTATATTCCTTTAAGTCTTTCTCTCTTCTCCTTCAATTAACAAAATTTTGTGATTCTGAAGCTGAGGGGCTGATTCTAATAGTATAAACTTGAATACTCTGCTGGAAAAGTGGGGGTCAGTCAATAAGCATTTATTAAGTGCCTACTGGCACTATGCTAAATGTTAGAATCTTGATCCTTGCATATTTTTGTAGTCCTACCTGGGTTTATTTGGTTGCAGCCCTTTTTGAAGCTAGGCAAGATGGCCCCAGGAGATCCATCTTGGCTTTGGGGGTCTTGTGGCTCTTGGTGCTAGGTTTGTCTCTCTGGGTCCAGAGATCTTTGGGAAAGACTATGAAAAAATAATCCCTTCTGGTGAATCATGGGCCAGTGAGCACTTTATTTCACTACAAGAGACGGGTTGAAAATTAAGGGGGAGGCAAAAGCTCATTAGCAGTATGATTTATTAAAAGCTAATGAATGCTTTCTGCTCCCAGCCAGCAATTATATCAAAATGCATTTTTTTTCAGTGTCTAACTTGATCATGCCTAAATGCCCATTACTTCATGCTCACCTTGGGATTTCAGGGAGAGAGCAAACAGGTATAAGATTTCTCAAAATATGACAGCAGGACCCCTAAAGGATTAAATAGGAAAAGAGTGGAAAAAGAGATAAGTAAAATCCACAGCATATTTTGGACCACCTGTAGTAAGAGAATTAGTAATGGATAGAGCTTTGTCCTTGGGGTTAGGAAATCTTGAGTCCAAACTCTACTCAGGCACTTAATAGTTGAACGTCCTTGGGCAAGTTACAATCTCTCTCAGCCTCAGTTTTCTCATTTATAAAATGGGAATAATAACAGCACCTACCTCCTAGTGTTATAATGAGGCTCAAATGAGATAACATATGCAAATTACTTTGTAAATCTTAAAGTGCTATAAGAATATTAGCTGTTATTATTATGTCTATATGGCCATCTGGACTGGGTATTCTTAAGAAGTAGATTTTCTAGGCTGGCCTCACCAAATCTCATGCAAAAGAAATTGAGGGCCCTTGGGAGACAAGGACATTCCTGTGCATCATAGCCTTTTATGAACATTAAGCAAACATAAGTAGATTCCCTGTAAATCAGCATTCATTATTTAGGTCACTTGGCTAAGTACTTATCATAAAAGAATCATGGTGCTGATCAGATTTCTCTAGTTCTAGTAGAATGTAAGCTCGCAGAGATCAGAAACTGTGAGATTCATCTTTGTATCACCAGTATATAGCACAATGCCGGTACATATTAAGTGTTTAATAAAGATTTGTTGAATTGAATTCAGAAGCAAGAAGTACTCATAAATTTTGAAATCCCAGATTTACCATTGATTTGGTGGCAATTTGTACTATCTTTGTGTTTTTCCAAAGAGAGTTAGCTGTGGCATAGTAAACAGAGAGCTAGCCTCAGAGTCAGGAAGACTTGGGTTCAAATCCTGTCTCTGACACATTCTGGCTGTATGAACTTGGGTAGATGACCTAACCTAAGCAGTGATGTGGTGCTGTGGATGGAGTGCTGGACCTGAAGACTTGAGTTCAAATCTGGCTTCAGAAATGTACTTGCTAGTTGGGTGACCCTGGGTAAGTCATTTAACCTCTATCTGCCCTAGTTTCCTCATCTATAAAATGGGGATGATAATAATAGCATGCCTATCTCCCAGGGTTGTTGTGAGGATAGAATCAGATAATATTTGGGAAGTACTGTACAAACCTTAAAGCCTCATATAAATGCTAGTTATTATTATTATCATTGTTGTTATTTATCTATGTGACTTTGGGCAAGTCATTTAACTTCTTAGTACCTCAGGTAGCTTTTTAAGACTATAAGTTGCAGATTAGATGCTGGTATATATTGGTTTTGAGGAAGAGATCATAGGTCTGGACTAAAACAAAAGCATATTGTTTGAATCAAGCTGTGGGTCTAAAACTGAAATTTCTAAGGGAGAGGAGATTGGGGGAGATTCACTCTGACTTGCTCTCAATACAATTACTTAATAAAGAGACTTTGATGGCAATGCTTTTGAAGAATTTCCCCCAAAATTAGAGATCCCAGGAGTCAGAGTGAAAGAAGACTAGTACAGATGTGTTAAGAACTGAATTTAATTTAATCAATCAATAATCATTTATTAATAAGTCTCTACTTAGTAGTCAGGACCTGGCCTGGGTCCTGGAAATACAAAGACAAAAATGACATAGTCCTTGACTTCAAAGATCTAATGTTATATCGTAAGAGCTTGTATTTCCTAACCTTCTATTGAACTGAGACATGCTCTAAAAATCGGATTTCTCAGGCTGCCAGGAAGATATTTGAATGTGTCCTATTCCCTGGCAATGCTCCATCACAATCAAAGGAAAGGGAATTCTAGGATAATTCTAAGTGTCTTCCTTCCTGCCTCTGCTTACTCTGAGGGAACATGGAAATACATGGACTCAGCTACCTAACTAAACCTTCTGTGGCTATAGGGTCCTGAAGGGAGGTCCACTGTGAGGATGAATGAATGAGTGAAAAAGCATTTATCAATGATTTAATATGTCCTGAGCAGTATGATAAGTGCTGGGGAAAGCAAATTGAAAAGAAGAATGTTTTTGCTCTCAAGGAGCTCACATTCTAACCAGAAGAGACAACATGACATGGGAGTGTTCAACCAAAGGGTGGCTAGCAAGGACCCAAAGTCCTTAAGATGCATCAAGGTGTCTGTCCTGCAGAATAAGGGAGCATGAGGTGAGTGATCCACCACCACAGAGAATAGGGGAATTGGGAAATTCCAAATCCACTCCTACCCTTAGGAATGGGGCAGTGATTTAGGGTTTCCTCCAGCAGGGGTGGAGATGGGGGAACAATATTTGGAAAAGAAGGGGAAAAGGGAAAAGTAGCCAGGGATTTGGAAAATAGAGGGTGGCTTCTCCTGGTGCCAACTGGGACTCACCAGCCACCTCCTATAGTGGTCTGTGGCAGAGGAGGGACAAGGAGGTTCCTACTTGGTAGCTGTTCTAGCTGAGGATCTTTCGGTTCCCCTAGTAGGGTGTGAGGGGAAGGAGAGCACTTTCAGTAGATGCAAATATACGTTTGTACCTCCCTCTTGCCTTTTTATGCTTTAGGTTCATGGGTGTGGAAAGGCATCATGGTAGAGTGAAGACAGTACTTGACATGGAATCAAAAGGTCTGGTTTCAAGTTCTGGCCCCATCATCCATTAAATAGACAAACCATTGAAACTTTCTGACCCTCAGTTTCCTCACCTATAAAAAAGGAGAGAATATTTGTACTACTTGCCTCAGTGAAGCAGTTTACATACCTTTAAGGGCTTTATTAATGTGAACTAGTATTAGTTTCAGCCATCAACTATTTATGAAGCCCCTGGTCTGTATTGACCACTGTGACACATACAAGAGAAGGTAAGGTCCCCATCTGAAGGTGAGCCAGCATCATGCTTTGGGTGGAAAGATAAAACTTCCATCAAATAGAGAGCAACAGAAGGCATCATACAGTCAGTTGTTATTGTGTGTTATGTATCACAAGTGCTTCAGGAATTTAGAGAACAGAGGCTTTTCTGAGTCCTGAGGCTGATGAGTGAAGGCTTCATGAAGGAATTAAGGCTTGGGCTCTAAAGGATGACTAGGATTTTCATAGAGGAATGGAGAGATTATATTCTATGTGTGGAGAACAGCATGAGCAAAGTGGGAGGTCGAAATCAGCTTCATTTTTGGGGAAATGGAGCTCAGGAGACAGACTTGGCTGGAGGCTGTCACTTAAGAGTGAGCATTAGGAAAAGAAAGTTGTTAAGGTAAGATCCAATAGGCAGCAAAGAATCATGGTAAGCTTTTGAGCAAGTGTATGACGTGGTAAATATTCATCTCACAATGGTAACTGGACTGGATTGGAGAAGAAGAGACAAAATACAAGGAGAGACAGCTGTGAGTAGAGCTAAAAAACAATGTTGGGGGTGGGGGGGGGTAGATTTCAGTTGTGCCTGAGCTGTGAGGTGTTGATTGGGTCCTATCTCTGTGCTGCAAGCATGGAGAGGGACTGATTGAGTTTCACCATCATGATAATGAATATTCCTCCAGTTAGCATGAAGGTGGGCCAAAAAAGCCACTTCAACAGCATCTGGGGAGTGTAGAGCCTCCTGTACAGGACACTCTTTTCAGTCTCATCAGGGTCTGAGTAGCAGGGAAAATTCTGACGCTCTTTGAATCTGACCCTGATGGTCTCCACATCTCTCCTGGCTTCTTGGTAGTCCTCCAAGTTCTCAGGGATGTAAGAACACTAGAAGAGAATGAGACAATCTACAATGATGGAAAACAGCTGGGAACAGAAAGATTCCCCACCCAAAGCTCTCAAATTGAGGGGAAGGGCATTGGGTAGAAGGCATCACACCCAGGAAAACAAGAAGGAATAGGACCACCCTTGTGTCAGTTGAATGAAGCCCTGGAGAAAAGCTCAGAGAGTATGATGAAGACTCAGCCCATGCCCCATCTGCTGTTTGAAGTTTTTCTTCATCCCTCTTCTTTAGTAATAGCTACTTCATATTTATACTTATATAACCATCTTGTATTTATTGTATATTTAGTTTATATATATATTTTTTCTGTTATGTACTTATATGTGAACATGTTCTTTCTTTCAATAGAATATAAAGTCCATGATGACAGGGACTGTTTCAGTTGGGGTCTTTGTATCCTCAGTGCCTAGCACAATGCCTGATATTAGTAAGTGCTTAATAAAGCTTCTTGATTGATTGACTGAGGAGTCAGCCTAGTTCACCATCTGTATTTTTGCTTCAGAGTACCTGGGGTCATTCTTTTAGGTGTTGGTATAAAGAGCTATAACTAGGGAGTATTGTACCTGGGCAAAATTTATTTGGGGGGTTGGGAGGAAGGAGCATTGTGTTAATGGTAACAGAGCATAGTCTGACCATGGGAGAGGTCACACTGAATCAGGAGACCCTTTGTGCCCAAATCTGTATAAGTAAGTCTCAGTTTCCTCAACTGTAAAATGGAGATAATAATACCTTTACCATCTGCCTTACAGGGTTGCAAGCTTTTAAATGCCATAGAAATGTATACTATTATAAGTTAACAAGTATTTATGAAGCCCCTACTTTTGCTGACCACTGCAGACATGTAGAAGAGAAGCTAAGGTCCCCATTTTCTCTATAATACAGGCAAAATCCACTCCCTCCCCCTGGAACTCTCCCCTATATAATATGTCTCTGTCTCTCTGTGCCTCTGTCTCTGTATATGTATCTCTCCGTTCTTTCTGTTTCTGTCTCTGTCTGTCTGTCTCTGTCTGTCTCTCTGTCTGTCTCTCTCTCTGTCTTGCTCCAGGATGTTGTCAAGATAAGTTTATAGCTGTACAAGAAAGGGACTTAATAAATCTAGGGTTCCATTACACCAAGAGCCCTTAACCTTTGGATCTACAGATCTACAAGAAGTCCATGGACAGATTTCAGATTATCTGTGAACTTAGATAGGAAAAATTACATCTTTATTTCAATATAATTGGTTTCCTTTGGAATCCTTTGAATTTTATCTTAAGCATTGAAAAACATCATTGTGAAAATGTGTCCATAGGCTTCACCAGATTGCTGAAGAAATCCATGATAGAAAAAAAGGTTAAGAACCCCTGCGTGCTATAATATGTCCCTACCTAAATTTACCCTAAGCCTTTTACAAAGCAATTGATCCTATCCTGTAAGGACTGGTGGTGAGGATTTTATGTATTTTGTAGATGCCCAGCGTCTACCAGTCGTAGAGCCCAGGAGCACTGTGGGAAGTCAAATCTGAAGCTCCCCTGGGCCATTCCTTCTACCATTCTTCATAGTACTAAAGTCTCAGTCCAATTTCCAGGGGAGTCAAATTGATCCCAGTTGTCAAAATCCCAATTACTAGTGGCATCATCTTCACCATAGCCTGAACCTCACCTCCAGTATTTATGGAGAGAATAGTGAAGCTCAGGAGCCCACACGTCCAGAGTGCATGTAAGAAGGGCCTGGCCATGGAAGGTGTTTGTCTCTCCTGTGCCTCTGCTCTTTGCTACAGAGCCCTCTTGGCTGGTCCCTGAGGACTGCCTCCCCACCCCACCTCCTACTTTCTATAAATTAATGAATATAAAACAAGCAACTGGACCAAATGGGCAGCTGCCTGGCAGATGTAAACAGTGAGGGTAGGCTCACCAAATCACCCTATTTGCAACCTCCTATCAGAGCTGTAATTGGCCACTCGGCGTGAACAGGAGGCAGAGCAATGATCAGCTGGAGGCTGTAAATACTTCCTGTTGAGGGGCAGACAGAGGTTTGGCTTGACACGAAGCTGATAGCTTATTAAGGGAAAAGCATGGAGATCTATGCCCATTCTCACCTTCACTGCCAAAGTGAGTCTGGAACGATGCCTGCTTCTCTCTCAATCTCCCCTTAAGGTCAATTGATTAGAGCTATCTAGTAAATAAGGTCCAGAAGTAAATTGGTTGTCTTGATGCTCCCAAGACTTCTCTCCAACACATATGAGTGACACCAGCCATCTCTCCTTGTCTAGCATTAATGGTTTCAGGTCTTTAGCTGGTGGGTGCGAGGCTCTTTTGAAAATTAGGCAAGAAACAAGGGCTAACAGAATGGGATTGGTGAGGCACAGAATCATGGAATTTTTCCACAGGCTCCCAGAAAAAAAAGGATACAACTGAGGTCTACGGGCTTTCAATTCAGGGCTTTCTATATCCAGTTGTGATGATTTGCTTTGGAGTTGAGCTAGCTTGAGTTTTTATCAGGGGTTCATAGATTTAGAATTGGAAGGGGCCTTAGAGGTCATCTTACACAACTTTCTCATTTTACAAATGAGGAAACTAAGGTCTAGGAAGGTTAAATGACCCATCCAGGGTCACATAGGGTAGGAATTGAACCTAGGTCCTCTGACTCCAGAGTTAGTATCCCTTTCACTCCTTAATGCTCCCTAAGAGTTGACTTTCTAGATGGTCCCTTCCAAATAATTTGCCTGAGTTGCTTCCTGGGGTGCCCTTTGGTTTCTCTAGGAGACAAGATGACACATTTATCACATGTTATGGTTTTATACATACACATGTGCAAATATAATATAATATGATATAACATAATATTTTCTAGACCAACTTTCTTGCTCTTACCTGGTGGTTTTTTTCTTTTGTCTCCTCTGTGTGGTATAGAATGGCACTCTTCCCAATGGCAGACACGTTGACCCACAGACATGGGTACTGGGGAACCTTCTTGCCTTCCAGCTTCTCATGTTCCCTTATGTCTATTTCAATCAGGTGGCAGTTGGATACTTTGGTCCATACACTAGGAGAAACACATATGCACACAAGGATACTGGCAGAGATGAGAGCAGTGCCCTACTTTGGTGGCCGCTGACACTGTGCCAGTATTGACTCCCTTAGTTTTTCCAACCGCCCCCAGCCACTGCTTGGTAGTAATTAAACTGGATCTTCCAAGACTCCCCTAGTAGACCTATGCCATACCCTTTTCCCGTTTCTTATGAGATATCCTCTCGATTATTTGTTTTTGCTTTTTGGTTTTATTGTTTGTCCCTCTTTCTTGAAGAGGATCATGGCATCAGGAAGATGATGCCATGACTTGCAAGTGAATTGGATTTAAGTGAGGGAGGGCTTTTCAAAGTCATCAGCCTCACTTTCTCCTCTGGAGCCATCTGGGCCCAGTAGAGAGGGGAAAAGCAGTTAGATTGGATCTACTGATTGGTGTTTAGCAGAGAGGAGGAATCAGAATTTCAAAGGGGGAAGGGATCTTTGAGATTATCTCCAAGAGTGTCATTTTATGGATAAGGAAACTGAGTCCCAGATAGGGGGAAATGGCCAAGTCAAAAATCACAGAGCTAATTAATAGCAGAATCTGAACCACAACCTTGGGGCTCCATTCTGAGAAAGCTCAAAGAATGGATGTCAGCTAAGATTCCCAGTTCAACTTGGTGTACAGAAGGTGTCCTAGGGAGAATTCTAATTTCATGTCAAGTAAATCAGGATATTAGGGCTCATAATTTAGGTGAGCTTCTGCCTTATCCTTGATAATATTGAAGAAAGAAGAGACAACTCCTTGCTTCTAATGTCCTCTGGTGCTGTTATTCAGTGTTACCCATTGCATACAGGCCACAGACTACTAACCAAAAAAGCTTCAGACACCCTCAGCTCACTTTCCTCAGCCCTTATGTTGGAAAGGGTGTTAGAAGAAAGCAAACAGGAATGTCTTCCCGACAAGGTGAATGGTTGGGTCAATAGATGCAATTCAGAGGGAAGTATATGTCAGCTCACTATGGAAGAAAACATCACAACTGTTGTTTGTCCTTAGTTCTCAAAGAGGACCAATGACACCAGGACGGTGATTTCTTGACTTGCACGTGAATTGGATTTAAGTGAGGCAAGGATGTACAAAGTCACCAGCCTCACTCTCTCTTCCAGAGTCATTTAAGTCCAGTGGCAAGATGTAGGTCAGGATGGCAGGAGATGGCCCCAGATGCAGTGGAAGACCTTGACCTTTTTAAGTTAAGATCTTTCCCAGGTCTCAGTTTGTCTGAGAGAACACCCATTCAGTAGGTAAAGGTTAGATAAGAATTGAAGCAAAAAGATGGCCTAGTTTTGCCTTCCCAAAAGAATCATTCTGGGAGGGGAAGACCCTCAGAATTTCTGGCCAAAACAGAAACATGGTTATTTACACTCAATTCTGAGCCACCAAAACCCAAACACTGAGCAAGTGAGGTATAATGGCCAATCAGTGAGAGCCAGAGTGTTTTGGGTTTAAAGGCATAGTCTAGGAGTTCCATTTGAATCCCAAAAAGCTTTATCATAGCCTGGTTTTCCAGAGCTTCAAGAAATAAAATGAAAATTATATAAGACAAAAGAGTTAATTGTCCCAGTTAAAAAAACAAAACAAAACCAATGATCAAATAAATAAGTAGAGAAGTAAAAAATCTAGCCTCCAAACCCCAAGATACTTTGTGAAGTATAAGCAATCAAAATTTATATTCCTTATATATTCCTTATATATTTATATTCCTTTGTATTCACTGTTATAGTTGTCTATAAACAGAATGGCTCCATACAACAATAGTATTATCCCCATCATGGGAAGTGTTCAGGGGTTGAATAAGCATCTGTCAGGGATATTGTAGCAGGGATTTCTGCAGAATAGAATGTTGGGGAAAATGACCTCTCAGGTCCTTTTCAAATCTGAGGTGCTATGATCAAGGTCAGTAATCAGTCATCATTATAAACTCAATATTCCACCAGGACAGTTGACAAGAACAGGTCCACTTTAATGCTTTCAGAGATGGTTAATTCCATTTTAGAGTAAAAATTTCCTTTTCTTAAAAAAAAAAGATGAATGTAAAATGAAAAGTAATTGAAAAGAAAATTTAACTATCAATGGCCAAAAAAGGCAATAATAATAATAACAACAATAATAAACGAAATAAATTTGGGGCAATGTGGCACAGTATAAAGATTTTAATTTGGATTTGAATCCTAACTTGCTACTTCCTATCTGAATGACCTTAGGCAAGTTATTTAACCACTCTGAGCCTCAGTTTTCTCATTTGTAAAATCAAGGGGTTGAATCAGATGGTCTCTGAGATCCCTTCCAGGTGTAATTTTATGATTCTAAGAAGCACTGATATGATTTAACATAGAATATTTCATTCCCTTTAATTTTTGTGGACTTAAATTCTCCCAGAACACTTACGGCAAGAGAGGTGTGAGGAGGGAGTAGCAATAGTCAGAGGTGTTAGATTCTACTTGATTGGTGTAGAGGGAGTAGAAAGGCTTATTATTAGCCCATTTCTTTGATGGTTCCTGTGTTCTAGGCAAGCCTGACTCCATCTTATCCCACTTTGTAATGTCCCTTCTCCAGTGGGTAGAAAGTTTGCAAGGCATTTAAGTTCCTAGACTAGGGAGATAATGTAGGGAAAAGGGATATTGGGTACCTCTTTTGGTATAAGGGCAGCACGGTTGTCCCCAAGATGTAGTAGGTGATGGCAGAACACACCACCATGACAGCGCCCAGGCACAGGGCACGGCTCTCTCCTCGGATCTGTGCAGTCACCAAATTTTTCCCCATCTTGACTCTGAGAAACAGACCTGTCTCGCCCCTCCTAGGGTTAGAGAGTCGAACAAGGAAATCCTAGATCAGCAACCTCACTGACAGTATAACCTTTCTGCTGCTCAGGTAACTTTAAGACTAAAAGTTATATCCACCTTGCGATCTGCTTAGGTGCACAGAGAATTTCTGTGCCCATGGAATAACAGCTGCATGATTTTACACCTGGTTGATTAGAGGATTTAGAACTGGAAGGGACTTTAGAGACCAGGTAGCTCAACCATTTCACATTCCAAGGAAGCAACTGAGGTCCACAGAGATCAAGTGACTTGCCCAAGACCATGTGGTTAATAAGAGGAGTCATGATTTAAACTAGACTGTATGTGTATATGTCTCTCTCTCTCTCTCTCTCTCTCTCTCTATATATATATATATACCACATAATATTATATATACACACAAATATATTCTTCCCTTCAGAGGAATGTAACAGCATAGCTCAGTTTCTTCCCCCCCACCCCCAACCTTTTAAAAAAAGTTTGGATTTCCCCCCCCGGACTTCAGAAAATTTTTTTTAAAAATACCCACAGGCATCAGTTGGTCTCCTTTCTTTGGGTACCTGCTCTCCTGAAGTCTATGTCCCTGGGTTATGCTGGGTCTCATACCTTACCGTGTATGGGCAGAGAGACTGCTCCAGTGTGTGTATATATGCATACATATATGTATGAGTATGTGTATGTATATATACATATACGTGTATATATGAGTATGTATACATATACATATACATATACATATACATATACATATACATATACATATACATATACGCGAAAGTGTATATTGAATCTATTGAAGCTTAAAACTGCCCTAAGACTTTTGGGCATACCCTGTATTTGTGTATGTATCTAGCATTTTATAACAATTTAAGGTCTGCAAAATGCTTTGTAAATATTTCATTTTATCCTCAAAACAACCCTGGGAGGTAGATGCGATTATTATACCCATTTTACAGATGAGAAGACTGAGGCAGACAGAGACGAGGTGATTCGCTCTGGGTCACACAGCTAACAAGTGTCCGAGGCCCAATTTGAACGTGGGTCTTCCTGACTTCGGATCCAGAGCTCTATTCACTGTGCCACCTAGCTGTCTCTACTCTTTCCATCGAACCATGGAGCAAAGAAATTAATCCATTTACCCTCATTACTCCATTGCCATTGGCTAATTTATTAGATTAACTAGTTATTTCCACCCAGAAACCAGAGTCTTAATGGACTAGGACCCTGGATAAGTTAATTCTGACAGAGGAGAGGTATTTGGAAAAGTCAACAAGCATGAACATGTAGCAGTGGAAGATATGGGAAGGGCTCACAGTTAGAGAGGGGTGGGATAGTCAGGCAGCCAGGGATCAGCATTCAGTCAATAGAGTGAAGGTGGAGGGAGTTCCTAAAGGGGAAAGAGAAAGTTTGAAAAGGGAAATTGATTTTAATGTAAGATTTTTAAAGCTGTTTATCACTTCTGGGATTTTCTTCAGAGAGAGGAGTTTGTTGAACGGTTCAGATTGAACATTTATAGTAACAGCCTTCAAATATAAGCTCTGCTTCCCAGTTTGGCCTTAGTGGTTCTATCGGGAATGGATGAGAAAAGGTCATTTAACCTCCCTGGGCCTCAGTCTCCTCATCTGTAAAATGAGGCACTTGGTCTTGATGTCTAAATCTATAGACATCATTCATTTAATAGCAACTAGTTATGACTATGATATAGTAGAAAGATTCCTTGGAGCAGAGGACCGAGGTCCACTTACCGCCTGCGTGACCTTAGGCTGTCAGTCGCTTAACCTCCTTGGGTCTCAGTTTCCTCATCTGTCAAGTGAAGGGGATGGACTAGATTACCTTACTTCCAACTCTAAATCTGTGATTCTACTATTTATGAAGCACTACAGTAGGCAATGGAAGAGATACAATGAAAATTAAGGCATGGTTTTTGCCTTTACGGCATTTATAGTCTAATGGGGATGATATGATATAAGTAACAAATATTCAGTACAATATAAAAGTTTACAATAACTGTAACATAGAATATGTAATAATAGCCTAAGTACAAAATGCATGCGAGGTCAGAGAGAGAAAGATCATTTCTGGGTGAGGTGGCAGGCATCCAAGAAACCTTTCTGGAGGAGGTGGCACTCTAAAGCCAGATAAGTTTCTTTTCTAGAATCCCTTCACTGTATGGCATAGATATGGTGTAAATTTGTTCATCACTGGAGACGTGAATAGTAAGACTTCCTGACACTTCTAGGATAGATGCCCTCCACTGTGATCTTATATTTGGACTGGCCAGACTTGCTTCGGCAAATAGCATCCCTTTATGGGGGTGAGAAAAAGGGGGAAGGTGCTGTGTAAAGAAAAAGGCAGGAAGGGGAAGCCTCTGACTTCCCATACTAATATCTGCCTGATGATTATTATTAATTTTCCTTCTGACTAGCATGAGGTCTCTCTTTTCTCCCTGGGGTGCCATCCTCTCCGAACTCTAGGGGACCCTGGGCGCCCACTCTGAGGGACAGGACACTGAGTGCTCTGAGACATCCTCCCCCTAAACCCTATATCATCCCCAATATTCTGGTGACAAATATGGTTATGACAGGTCCTAAGTAACTCAGGCATTATTGCCTCGGGATCCATGTCTCAGAGAGGAAATATGTTTGTTTTAACATTGCCCTCCCCACTCACTCATCCACATCTGATGTCTTCTACCCAATCAATACTCTGCTACACATTTCCAAAACTTCTGCCTCCTACCATCACAACCCCCCCCCCCCACATATCCTTGGACAAACAATTTTGCGAGACAGGCTTTAGAAAGTGCTCTCTGAGAGGTACTCACAGTCTATATTGGCTCCTGAATTTGTCTTCACCTTTGAGAACAACTTCTTTTCCGAAGGCCGGGGGGAGCCAGGAAGTTTTCCATTGCCCCACCCCCACGCCTGCCCCAAGGAAGCAGCCTGAGTTCCAGCAGGAAGCTTTGTTTTACAGGGCTCCTCCAGCTGTGGCTGGCCCCGTGCTCCCCATCCCTGGAGCAGTCTCTGTGCCCATACATGGTAAGGTATGAGACCCAGCATCCCCCAGGGACATAGACTTCAGGAGAGCAGGTACCCAAAGAGAGGAGATCAACTAATGCCTCTCGGTATTTTTTAAAAATTTTTTCTGAAGTCTGGTGGGAAATCCAAACTAATATTTTAAAAGATTGGGGGTGGGGGGAAGAAACTGAGCTATGCTGTTACATTCCTCTGAAGGGAAGAAGAGAGAATATGGGTGCTCAGTTCGCTTTGAAATACATCCTCTTCTTTATTTATCTCTGGGACAAGATGGGCAAGAATCCAGGGGAAATGTTACAAGAACAGAATCTAGCATTTGGGGGCTGCTTGGAGGCACTGTGCTGGCGATCTGGAGTTGGAGATGGAGGATGTCTGCCTGCAGGGATGCTCCCTGCCCTTCTGAATACCAGCTGGGTTACAGAAGTCACTGAAAGCAGAAATAGTCTCTTATACCCACTGGAGGTTCATGGACTGCTGTAACTAGTCACAATCAATCAACAAGTATTTAAGTACCTGCTTTGTGCCAGGCACTGTACTAAGCACAGTGGATACAAGTACAAAGAATGAAACAATTCTTATTTAGGTGTATCTCAGATGCTATAAAAGTATATTTGAATTGGGATGGGGTAAGAGTGTGAAGATTGATCAGTAAAAGTGTGGTATAGTAGAAAAATGTTATAATTGGAGTCAGGAATCTTGGGCAACCTTTCTGAGCATCAATTTCTTTATCTTTAAAAAATATGTAAAGAGGTGGTTGAGATTAATAATATTTGCATTATCTACCTCACAAAATTGTTATGAGGAGTGTGTAGGCTTTAAAACACTGTAACAGAGGGGTTAGCTAACATGTTGGATGACAGATAAAGGACCAAAAGGGATCTCAGACTAGAATATTAGAGAGAATGTAGTAAGATGGAATGTAATAGAGATGAGTGTAAAATCTTACATTTGGGTTCAAAAAATCAGTTTTACAAATACAAAGTGGGAAAGGTGAGGTTAGCCAGCATTTCACCTGAAGAAAAGAATGGTGGACAGAGGAGGAGGAGACTTTTAGCTCAATGGGAGTCGATAGTATGATAGGGCTGTGAAAATACTTGTTGCAAACAAGTTGTACTGAGTCATAATGACCAATATAAGAAGCATGAATGAAAATAACTTATGCATGCATCTAGGGCAGGATTCCTAATTTCTTTTTAGTCATGACTAGCTGGTAAAGCATGTGGATCATCTAAATGTTTTTTGTTTTTGTTTTTGTTTTTAATTTTTTAGGTGAGGCAATTGGGGTTACGTGACTTGCCCAGGGTCACACAGCCAGTGAGTGTTATGTGTCTGAGGCCGGATTTGAACTCAGGTCCTCCTGACTCCAGGGCTGGTGCTCTATCCACTGAGCCACCTAGCTGCCCCCATCTAAATGTTTTTAAATGAATAAAACAAAATATGTAGTGTTATGAGGAAACCAAAGATTAGGAAAAATTATGGATATAGATATAGAAAAAGGCATCTAGGTGGTACAATGGATTCTGTGCGAGGCCTGGAGTGAGGAAGACCTGAGTTCAAATATGCTCTCAGACATTTATTAGGTGTGTGACCCTGGGCAAGTCACTTAACCCTGTTTGCCTTAGTTTGTCATCTGTAAAATGAGTTGGAGAAGGAAATGGCAAACCTCTCCAGTATCTTTGCCAGGAAAACTCCAAATGGGGGCAGCTAGGTGGTGCCCTGGATAGAGCACCAGCCCTGAAGTCAGGAGGTCACACCTGCTGTGTGACCCTAAGCAAGTCACTTAACCCCAATTGCCTCACCAAAAAAAAAAAAAACAAAAAACAAATTAGTTCACAAAGAGTCAGACGTAACTGAAACTACTGACCACACACAATTATATAGATATGGATATGGATATAGATGTAGATATAGATATCGACATCAATACTGATATAGATATATCCTTTCCACAGTTAGCAGGACCTTGGGATCTTGCATTCTCTTCACTTTTTGGTCAGTTATATGACTACAAAGATGTCTGCTGTAGAATATTATGAGATTCTCTAAAAGATGTAACAGAAGCAACTTTATTCAATGACCCCTGGATTGTTTGCCACAATTATTGGGAGGATGTTCAGAACAGAGATGAAACCAAAGAGAGATTCCCTATAGATGACGAACTTCTCCCAAGGCATGACATTGTGATGACTGCATTAAGCCCATTGCAAATATTCTTGATATCCATAATCATTCAAAAGAGCTCAATCTGTCTGCCTGGGGAATCAGACTGATGAAGAATGCCTACTGTCCATTTTCTATGGAACATAGATAGAATATAGTAAGATGAAATGTTACAGAGATAAATGTAAAGTCTTACAATTGAGTTAAAAAAATCTGGTTCACAAGTACAAAGGGGGAGGCTAGCCAGCATTTCATCTGAAAAAGAATGGTGGAGAGAGGGTTAGTGGATTGTAAACTCAGTGAGATAGTTATGTGTCCATAATGATAAACAATTAGATAGACAACTTATAAAGCGTGACCATTACTACATATATCTTGGACAGAATGGATTAATTTAAAAGCATTTATTAAGCACTTATTGTATGCCAAGCATTGTGTTTAGCGCTGAGAAAATGATACAAATGACAGGTATTGTGACTGGGTCCCTGGGGAGTAGATTGACACACCTCATGTAGGAACAGTGGCAGAGTTGATTTGATTAATAGTTCTAGAACTCCAGCGAGGTGGGAGGAAAAATTGGCAGGCAGGGTGATTGGTGAGGAGGAAAAACAGAGTAAGGAGTAAAGTGAAACATGGTTGGAACTTCCCTGAAATAGTGATGTGAAGAAAGCAGTCACCAACAAGGACAGGAGGTCCCCAGGGCAGATATTTCTCCAGGTTGGCAAGGTCATTTGTAGAAAGATTCTGCGTTGTTAACTGTAAATGAGTAATCAGTTCAGCACAGAATTGAATAGAAAGAGGAAAAAAGGCTGCATCTTCTGAAAACAAAGATCAGCTCTTTAAATAACAGTAATTTGGGGAATGGCTAAGCAAATTGTGGTACATGGATATAGTGGAATATTACTGCTCTGTAAGAAATTGTGTGTGTGAAATGAATACAGAGATGCCTGGAAAGTTCTATAGAAACTGATGCAGAGTGATAGAGTCAAGAAAACAACACCACAGTAATGATAACAGTATAAATGGAAAGAAAAATGACACACCAAAAAATTGAAAGTAAATGTAACAAAATTGTAAAGATCAAACAGGACCCAAATGAAGAGATATGGGAGGACACTCCCAACCCACCCTTTCATGGAGTTAGGAGGTTTACAGGTGTTATACACAATGTACAATTTTTAAAACTTTTTCAATGTATCTATCAGTTGTGCTGATTCTTTCTCCTCTCTCTAAAAAAGTGTTGTTTTTTCTATGAGAGAGATCTCTGGGAGGAGGGAGACGAAAGAGATAGTTGGAATAACTATGATGATGTGAGAAACAGAGGATGTCAATAAAAAACTCATTTTAAAATGAATGAAAAAATAATAATATTGTTGATATTCTTCTGGCAGTACTGTATGACTATGAGTCATGGAGTGCCACAGTCTTTGAAGTCTTTCTCTTTGAATCTATCCAAAAGTCAACAAAAAGAGACACATGATGAACCTAAGTAGGCTACAGTACATTATAGACAAGGAGAAGAAGTATAGAGGATGTCATCAGAAGGCTGTAAGTCCAGGAAAAAAAGATGTGCCTGTTATGTGATGAAAGCAAGTTTCCATGAAATAAGAAGAAACCAAGAAGAAAGCTGCCCAGAAGGCTGGGTGAACCACCAATGGAGGGATTTACAAGAAAACCAGGACAGAAGTTGTACAAGATAGGTAGGCTTAGATGGACTGCAATCTACATTATTAGAGAGAGTCTCTGTACTGTTAAGATGATCCCATCACAATCTGGAAGTATCAAGAGACGGGTCATACATAGGCTAGGGAGAGAGGTGAGAGCCCACTGGTAAGACTACACCTGGAGTATTGAATTCACTTCAATCCAGTAATAGGATTTTAAGAAATAGCATTTCACTTCAGGGCACCACATTATACGAAAGATGTTGAAAGATGTTCAGAGGAGGTCAGCCAACATGACAGATCAGGAGCCTTCAGATCAGCCATATTAGGGTCAGAAAGAATTGGAGAAGTTTAATCTGGATAAGAGAAAGTGGACATAACAACTATGTTTGAGTATTTGAAGGACTGTCAGGTGATTCTAATTATTTCATGACTATAAGATGATTTCAGGTTTCCCTCTCTGGATTTTGCCACAGATCATCAATTTGCCTCCCTCCCTCCTCTCCCCCTTCTCTCATTGGTGAGATTCTCTTAGAGGCTTTATTCTAATGAAAGGCCCAAATCAACCATGCTTCATTCTCTGGACTTCACCACCGTGTCTGGCACGGGTACTTTCCCCATCCCCTCCCCTTTTCATCTCCTTTTTATGTATTGTCTTCCATTATTACAACGTAAGCTCCTCAATGACAGGAAATGTCTTTGGTTTTGCTTGTATTTGTATCTAGTGCTTAGCACTGGGCTTAGCACACAGTGATTGCTTAATAAGTGTTGACTTTCTCAGAAGGTTGGTCAAGGTGGTCCCAGTAGTTTCCTTTCCTAATCACTCTCACCAGAAATCCTGGAGACCCTCCTGAGATGGTCCAGCAGGGAGTCAGAGACCATGCAGCATCTTGGCTTAATGAGCCAACTTCCTTTCTCCAGCCTCTTAAGAGTCAGCGAGCTGTGAAATGAGAGCAGTTGTTAAGGTCTCCCTGACACTCTCTACAGTGATTTGTTCCTGCCCCCACTCTCTCTTAATTGAAACATATTAATAGGAGACCAAGTTGCCTGTTTATTGGACATCACAGTAAAAAGGCAAAGATGTTTTCAGTCCATCCTTGGCTGTTGCAATTAGTTTGTC